CAAATTTACTTGAAACTGAGATGCCATATACCACTTTCATCACCCGAGTGGGCAGCTCATTCAATAACAAAAGTCGAGACTTAGCCGGACCATTTTGTGGAAAGGATGCAAGAGTTCGAGAAATTGAGCAACATTGAAAGAGAATCAAATGCACAAAAGTCAAAGGGGTACCACCCATAGATTTAGCCGACAATAAATATTTTGATTTGTTTTAATTTTCTGTTTAGCCAGATAAATAAGTGTATGCAATTGTATTTCAATAGTAATGATGTGTAATATGTACAACTTCTTAATATTTTAATATATTTCTTATCTTTGCCAAACAAAGTCATCAATTAGGTTTTGTTTTCTGTCTGTTTCATTGTGCCTGGTTCAGGAGAGGTTCCGGAGATGTATCTTAGAAAGAAGACAATAGGGCGGTACCAGATAAGTATCTCCGAAATCAACACTAATGCTTGATAGGATTTTTGTGGTTAACATTTATATACAACTTCTGTAAATTTAAGGGCTCTGTTTTTTATTTCACACAAACAAAAAAATGTGTCAAATGTCACAAATAAATATCAATTGGTATGTGTCGCTACACAAAAAATGCACAGAGTTGCCACCGAACTTTATTTATTCTAAAGAAAGTAAAAATATCGATAAAACCCCCTAAAGGTGTAGAAAATGGTCTTATAACCAAATTAGGGTTCGGAAGTCGGTTATGCAAGGGAAATGTATTAGTACCCCTCACATCCATCGTACTCGATGGGAACCATCTAGATTGTCTAAGCGCGAATGGGCGTCGTTTATCTAAGAGTTACTTGCTAAAGGGGAAATGGAAGTGTTTTAAATTAGTATGCTCGCCTCGGTTTTAAAACCTCGTGCCTACATATTTTTATTGTGAAATGAAGAATCATAGCTTCTGTAGTTCGTGGTAGAAAATGAGTGTGTGTTAGTTGTTTTTAGTGGACAATATTAACATTCGCGTTCTAGCAGTTAAATGTTTCTTGTATGCTCGCGAATGGGAGGCTTAAGCATTGTTTGTATAGCGGTAGAACGGAAGTAACATGTCCTTATTGAAAAGGTTTTTAAGAGTGATGCCCTAAGACACAAAAATAGTTTGATGAGTTGATATTATTTTTAGCGTTTTGAGAAGAAATTATTCTTGATTAGGATTGCACTAGAGACTATGGGTAGAGGTGAATATTTCATACTACCAAGCCAAGCGTCTTGTGTCAAAATACTCGGAATGAGGGCAAGAAAGCTCCATTCTCACTCCTCTCCACCACTTAAGGCTCGTGGCGCGCAACCCTAATCGTATCTTAAAATCGCATCTTATTGTGTTTTTGAGTTTATTGAGAAAAATGTCACTTGACATTGGATCAAGGGTTTTATTGTGAAAATGCCGCTTGACGTTGGATCAAGTATTTGAAGGTTGAAATGTGAATTTTGTGTAGGTGAAAGTATGAAAATAGCATGGAATGGATGAGATACGTGACGTTAGATCAAACACTCACGTTACTTTCAAATGAATTTGATTTTGAAAAGCACTTGACGTTGGATCAAGTGTGTTTTATTCTTTTTAAAAAGTTGTTTTTATCGTTTTCATTTTATCTTGGTTATTAACATGCAAAGGAAAGCGGTAAAGAAAATACATCCTACGCTATTAAATCATGGGAGTAGGGAGACAATTTACCCACAATGGGGGGATGAATCATAAACCATACAAAAATTTAAAAAATCCACACAAGCATACAACACTATCATGCCCAAAAATCAATCAAGTGGCAAGGAGGAACATAATCATATATACCAAAATGTAACCAAGAATAAATGCAAAAGAAATTAATTCTAATGAGTTTTAAAATGAAGGTTAACCCTAAAATTAATCCTAACTAATTTGTTAATCAAAGATTAAGGTGAATTATTGTGACTATCGATTTTTAATCAAGAATTGTGGCTAAACTCTAATGTGAATCAAATTGAAGATCAATTCTAAAGATTAATTGAAAATTATCCTAAAATCTATGATTAATTTCTATCAATTTTAATTGAAATTCAACTTAAAACTACTAAGCATTAATTTTTAGCTAATGATGTATTATTATTTCTAATTAAAATGAATAGTCATATATTTCTAACTAAAATTAATGGTTATTTATTCTAGCCTAAGTAACTAATGTATATATATAATAACTACTGCATGTATCTTAAAAACTAATCTATATTTCTAAAAAAAAGGAAAACTAATGGATTACAATTGTAATACACTAGGAATTTTAGCAATGTGCAGTTAATGTAGTTTCTTCAGCACATGCATATGTTATAAGTACAGTAGAAAAAACACAGCCATGCGGAAATCGAACGTTTCTCTATTACTTGTGTTTGTATTAATGGTACTGATAGATCATATATAGGTTTCTATATATATGTTATTAAATTATATGTAGCAATATAAAATAATTAGATTAATTGAAAAAAAATTAAATATGCAGTAAGAGACATAAAGTGGCAGTAATCAAGGGAAAAAAATAGTTTGAACAACAATGATCGACAGAATCAAATTTGATATGTTAATATATTGTTAGAATCGTAATTTTGTAAAGAAATCAAATATATATTATACTGAAAAAACAACAAGTGAATGAAAAATTCGATTAAAGAATGTGACGGTTCAGTTAAACTATGCATCAGAAAGAAAAAATAGTCACATATTCATGATCAACACAAAAAATCGATTTAAATGATATATTCACATGTTATTAACGGTTAAGAATTAAAAATCACTATTTTTAAGATTATGTGTTTTATGAAAAAATATGTAATTATCCAATAAGCAATTCTAAAACAGTAGCTTAAGTTAAGCCAACGAACAAGCATCCAACAATTCATGACAATAATATGGAAGGGATAAAGAATTACCGACGGAGCTGAGGTTTGCTCCGGGTAATGTTGGAAATTTGGCGCGTTGAAGTGTAATATTAAAACTTCAAGAATAATCTCCAATTATCTTCCAAGAATTGATGATTATTTTTTATGATGGTTGAACATAGAAGATGAGTCTCAATGAATTTGATGAACTTTGAATGATGATGCTTGAATTTTTAAAGCTTGATTATTGAATGCTTTTGGTTGAGTTCCACCGAACTTATAATTTCAATGTGAAATTCTAGATAGTGATGATGATGAACTTTGGTGGAGGTTATGGAATGAATAGAATGACGAGAGGTGGTGAGAAAAAAATGTAAAAAATGGTTCAAAGTTGTTAATCCCAAAAATTGAGAAAAAAAAGAAAGTTTATATAGATTTTTTTTTGTTAATTGTGGTTCATTGGACTATGATACAAGTCATTACTTTATCAAAGGTTAGGAATTAATCCAAATGTTAGTTGCGGATCACTAATCTTAATCGTTAGATTAATCGTTATTAATGGTTGAGGTTTGATGAAAAAGTGGTTTGGGTTTGTGTTAGTGTGTGAGCTTTAAGGAAGTTAAAAGTTAGTTAGGAGTTTAAGGGCAAATGGATAAATGCACGGGTTTGTGTTAAAATAGGTAGTTAAGGGTAATTAGAAATAAGATATGTTTGAGTTTAACATAAGTACCAAGTTTAGGGGTAAGGTGAATGATCACTAATAATTAACTTAAATTTGAATGCTTTTGTCTTGATTTTTCTACCACTTTGCCTTGAATTTTAGTGAATCATCTCTTGATTTTAAGTGCTTTTGAGAAGTGATTTTATGTTGAAAATAAACACTTTTAAATTAAGCGACAACCATTCAAATCTTTCAACTAATCCTGAATCTCAAATAAAGATATGATTCACACCAATATGGAAAATAAACCCGAATAATTAACAAATAATATCTGTCTTGAAAACTCCTTTAAATTGATTAAATCCACCATTATTGAACTTTGACCTAATGATTGTGCTATGCAAAATGCGATAACTGGTATGTTAAATGCATGACCTGATGGAGAGTATATACATGAGGAATATGAAATGCATAAGCCATAAAATTTGAGTGAAGGGTAGGACAAATTTGGGGTATGACAATATGTCGCAAATGTCTCTTTCTCCGGCGCGACACCCAGGGTAAAAGTATAAGCTCAACAAATACACCTCTTTTACATATCTGAAATACGAAGTCCATAATCTCATACCTTACAGAGAAAATCGAAAAATTATCAAGCTCGAGTACCATTCGCTGTCGATTGACAACGAAAGGAAGATTAAGTTCAACAACTTTGAGTTAAGACGGATGCAAATGTAAGACCTATGTGGAATACATTTTTTCAAAATAAAAGTTCTGCTTGAGTTGGAAGCGACGCTTTCAAGATCGGTCGAAGATATTATGAAGATGTTGAAGCGTCCACCAGAATATTGAAGTGTAATGTTTTAATTTATGTTGAAATAATCTGTGTAATCATGATTTTATGTTATGAATGGTAATTTTATTTTGTTAAAATACAATTTTTTTGCTTTCTGATTCTGATACTGCTCTGCATATGTTTCGAAAATGTATCTACGGACAGATTTTGGAGATGTATCTTTGGGGTTAAAAAACCCAACTTTCAGGACGTCACTGAAAATGACCTAGGTTATATGTGTATTTAGTGCGTTCGAAGATACATTTTCGAAATTTAAAAGAATTTTAGTATTTTCACGTAATGTACTGATAATACATAGAATGAATTAAAAAACTTTCTTTATTTTAATTGTTGGTGACACTAATCGCCACCATTGTAGCACAAATGTCTGTCTTACAGGTATCAGACACATATCAGAGACACGCGGACACACACATCCCAAGATGCACAACTAATTTCATTTTCTCCGGTGACAAAATAATAATCCAATTACACGAACAGGACGCGAAATATAAGTTACAAGCATTATTCTGATACATAAAAAGGGGCCAGAGTCCAAGCACTGCCCATGTTTGAGACACAGATTTATTCTTCTATACATTATGGTATCTCTTTATTAATAAAAAACCAAAACTAGATGCATGATTGTTAAGCCAAGAACCTTTCCAACAAGTTACCAAAGAAGAAGCTAGTTTTAGCCCATCCTTTTGTCTCTGGTTCTTTGTCATATGTTGGTACCTTCTTAACATCTACCATCATTGTCTTGCCTATTTCTTTACGAAGCGCTTCTATAGTTTTCATGTCCACTGAGTTCCCTGATGCATCCCTCACATAGAAGACATTAAGTGCTTCCTCCCCTTTAGTTGATATACCTGCCCTACAAACTGTCAGGCCATTCTCTCTTAGAATCCTTGTTACTTCCGACAGTAATCCCACTCTATCCTTTGCACACAACTCAAGGCTCACACCCTGTGAACAAAGATTACCCGAGAAAACTTTAGAACACAAAAAATCAAGTTCTTTAACATAATGTGGAAGAGTTATTAGCAGAATTCAATTGAAATCTGTAAGTTACCTCGCTTACTCTTCTTTGAATAGCAGCTTCGATGCATTTGATGACCCTTTCTTTCTCTCCTTCTGTATCAAGCGTGCATCCGTCCATGTGCCTAATAAAATACTCCTGAAGGTAAAAGATCAACAGTTTTAGTCCACATTTCTCATGTCTCCATGCTTCTAATTTCCTGAAGATGCAAATATGAGTATTAATATGGTGTACCTGAGATGCATAAGGTTTGTCTGATGAGATTGTGGCATGAGAAACAACATATTGCATATCAGTAAGAGTGCAAACAATGTCAAACATGAGTTTTGCGCGATCTTTGCACCTGACACTAACCACCGAATAACCTTTTTCCTTGCAACATTCTATCGCTATTTTTGGCCGGAAAGAGGGAGGACATTCACTGTCTGTCGTCGTTACTCCAGAACTTTCATAATCCCGATCAGCAAACAGCATTTGATGGAGCCGCCTATCGATATGTGTGAAACTCATGGAGAGACTAGTTCTACTAGCAACTTTATCGCCATCCTCGCATCCGCGTAAGATGTTATTGAGCTGCTCCTCCACAAGAGACAATCTTTTTGGATCGTCCACGGCTTGTCTCGTACTGTCATTGACATAAAGGACGCAAGCTATTCTTCTGTTATGTGTCCAAACTTCGGCTACAACCACATTAAAATGGAGGCTGGCAAGGACAGCTGAGATCTCAGACAAGAGACCGGGGCGGTCTCTTCCGATTAGCTCAACGGCTATATGATCACCAACAGAATGCACCCCAACCCGTTTTCCTGCCCAACTCTTCACTCCTTCTTTACTCTGGCTTTTCGGTCCTAGAGCCTATTGTATGAAAAACTGTTAACAGATAGCAATTATTCCCTTGCAAAATTGATTTATCAGTAACGATTATGAGTCTGTCACATGGTGGCTAAATAGAAAGCATATCTTAATATAAGAAATATATCAAATTTATATGTCAAGAGAAAGAAAATTTATATACCTTTTCAATGAGGTCAATGGTTTTGTCATCTGTTATCTTTTTTCCATGCTGATCCGTGACATGAAATACTGTATATCATTCAGTGAACAAGTAAGATACTACCCCTGAATCGTGCCGTGTTACGAGTCATACACTATAAAGCATGGATACTGGAAATACAACACCAACACTGACACGTCATTGGTAATAATTTGAATATATGAATAAATTAACATAATCATAAGTGTCAGTGTAGTGTAAGTGTTGGACACGGACAGTGACACAGACACACATTTTTCCGAGGTATGACTGCTATATAGCATGCACATATCTTACTAGCTAATTCATTTGAAATGAAAGGTCAATTAATCATCAACATACCATCCATGAACCATCCCCCATCAGAAGATATGTAAGCTTTGGTGATTATAAAGTCAAGGTCTGTCAAAATTTGCACAACTTCTAGCAGAATTCCAGGTTTGTTAACACTATCAAACTGCATGTTTTTTAAAAGTACAATAGAAAACTGCATCAGTAGAAAATTGCATATACTAATTCTTTTGCAACCATTGCAAAAGGATGATCATTGAACCTATAAGTTTGTGAAAACCCTAAAAAAATTAGAAAAATGTTGAGTTTTGAGAAATAATACCTTGATTAGTGTACATTTATGGCAACTAGCATTGTCCACTGATACCCTAATTAAAAAAACAAATCAAATTACAGTTAAAACAATAAAAAAATATCAAAATTTTAACATCTTCAAATCCTAAGCCCTTATTCGATATAGTAATTCCAATTTTATCAAATATCACTTGCTAACCTCAACACTTTCAAAACTATATTACACTTTTTATTTTGACAAAAGAATATAAATGAATTTAATTAAGAATGATACACTCAGAAGCCGGCCTCGGAGTTGGTTGGTTTTTAGAAAGAGAAAATTTTGGAAGTATGATATTTTTAACTTTTTTTTTTTTAAATAATATAATTTTATATGTTAATATAGTAAATTGTTTTTAATTTTACAAAAACAAAATATTGATAAAGATGTAAAAACAATACAAACAAGATTATCAAAAGATCCAACCCTCCAAACAACAAACAAAATAAACAAACAAGCTAAGGCAACACGAGAGTGGTTATACACGATCTAACTTTATGGTTAGATAAGATTTTGTAAGCCAATGTATCTATGATTTGGAAGATGTTGGATCAAACTCTAGTATGGTCGAAGTCTGCTCGCGAATAATGCATGTTGTAGTTGAAGTTAGCTTGTACCCTAAGTTAGCTTTTAATGGATAATTGTTAAAAAGCTCATTAGGTTAGTGTGCTATTTTTCTTATAAATAGGATACTAGTTTCTCAATCTTGTCATAAGGAAAAATAGGAAGATAAAATCTTAATTTCAAGAGAGAGGTTATTTTGTTATTCTTTTATACTTGTAATCATATTCTAAGAGAAAGGAAAGAATAACAGTTTAATAACCAATCATTGTTATTTTCTTCTTTATTAACCCTACCCTTGTGTACTTCTTGATCATTAAGAAACTGTTTATACTTAGTTTTAAGGTATCTGATTCACAACAAATTGGTGCGATGAGCGTGGAGAATATGCCTTCAACAAAGTATGAGATTGAAAAGTTCACTGGAGTGAACGACTTCGGTCTGTGGCGCTTGAAGATGAAAGCCCTATTGGTTCAGCAGGGTTGTTTGAAAGTGTTGAAGGGTGAGGCAGCCATGGACGTTGCGTTAACGACAAAAGAAAAGATGGACATGATCGAGAAAACCCACAACGCAATATTGTTGAGCCTTGGTGATAAGGTTCTTCGACAGGTATCAAAGGAGACTACAACATCGGGATTATAGGTGAAACTTGAAAGTTTGTACATGACCAAATCTCTGGTGAATCGACTCTACCTGAAGCAAGCTTTATATTCATTCAAGATGAGTGAAGACAAAGTGTTGGCTGAGCAGTTGGATATGTTCAACAAGATGATTCTTGATCTTGAAAATATTGATGTGAAGATCGACGATGAAGATCAAGCACTGTTGCCGCTGTGTGTTTTGCCCAGAACACATGCTCACTTCAAAGAAACTCTCTTGTATGGAAGGGAGTCCCTGAACTTTGAAGATGTTCAATCAGCCTTGTATTCTAAGGACTTGAACGAACGAAAGGAGCATAAACCTTCGACGGTGGGCGATGGTTTGGCCGTTAAGGAAAAATTCTTGCGAAAGGATGGTAAGTTTGACAAGAAGAAAGGTAAAAGTCAACAGAAGTCTTATAGTGGCGAAACATCTAGTATTCGATGTTATCACTGTAAGAAGGAGGGTCACATAAGAAAGGTGTGTCCTAAACACCTGAAAGATCATGGAGGTAATGGCAATGCAGTCATTGTTCAAGATGACTTTGACTCATCTGATGTTCTTGTGGTTTCAAGTGGCGACTCGAGAAAAGAGTGGATTATGGATTCAGGTTGCACTTGGCACGTGACTCCAAACAGAGAATTGTTCGAGGAGCTATGTGATTAAGATGGTGGATCTGTGCTGCTGGGAAACAACAAATCTTGCAAAATTGCAGGTATTGGATCTGTGAGATTCAAGCTCCATGATGAGTCAATAAGGTTATTGACTGAAGTCTGGTACGTACCTGACTTGAAGAGAAATTTGATTTCTCTTGGTGAATTCGACAGAAAAGGATACGTTTTTCAAGGAGAGAAAAGTATCCTAAGAGTCATGAAGGGGTCGAAGGAAGTCTTGAGATGCGTGAAGAAATAAGGCTTGTATACCCTTGAGGTTGAGGTTGTAAGTGGTTCGACAAATGTTGCATCCATGAAACCTATGTCGAAGACAAAATTATGGCACATGAGATTGGGCCATGTCAGCGAAAGAGGCCTGGTCGAATTGGGGAAGCAAAACCTTCTAGGAGGTGACAAAGTCGAAAAGTTGGAATTTTGTGAATCTTGTGTATTTGGTAAATCCTGTAGGGCAAAGTTTAACAAAGGCAAGCAAAGAACACATGGATCCCTGGATTACATTCATGCTGATCTTTAGGGGCCTGCAAGGAATCCTTCACACTCAGGTGCAAGGTATTTTCTATCCATCGTTGATGACTATTTCAGAAAGCTATGGGTATTCATTCAGAAGACGTAGGATGAAACTTTTGAGAATTTCAAAAGTTGGAAGATTCTGGTCGAAACTCAAAGTGGCAGAAAGGTTAAGAGGTTGAGAACCGACAATGGCCTTGAATTCTGCAATGAAGCGTTCAACAATTATTGTGTTGAGTCTGGGATTGCAAGGCATAAGACTGTAGCAGGTACTCCTCAACAAAATGGCTTAGCTGAGAGATTCAATCGAACAATCCTTGAAAGGATTAGATGCATATTGGTTAGTGCTGGATTGAAGAAGGTGTTTTGGGCGGAAGTTGTTTCGACAGCAGCTTACCTGATAAATAGATGTCCCTCGACTGCCTTAGGAATGAAGACACCTGAAGAAGTTTGGTCGGAACATCCACCTAGTCTCGACAGACTGAGAGTATTTGGTTGTGTGGCCTATGCTCACATTAGGCAAGACAAGGTCGAACCTAGAGCTCTGAAATGCATGTTCATGGGTATCCTGAAGGAGTCAAAGCTTATAGGCTATGGTGCCTAGAGCTAGGTCACAAGAGGTGTATCACCAGTCGAGATGTAGTTTTCAATGAAGCCGATATGGCTTTCAAGAAAACTGATGATGCTGATGAAGAGCTGGAACAGGGAGAGATTCCTGTTGAGGTGGAGCATGTTGATGTTGAATTGCTTACCCCAGATGAAGTCGAAGAAGACGCTGAAGATGTTGTCGAAGATGAGGAGAATGATAATGAATACATGCTAGCAAGAGACAGGTCGAGGAGAGTCATCAAGCCACCTCAGAGACTTGGGTATGCAGATCTTATAACTTATACCTTAATCTCTGCAAGTGAGGTTTTAGACGAAGAACCTAGAGACTATAAGGAAGTTATGAGGAGTCGAAAAAATACTGAGTGGCTGAAGGCCATGGATGATGAGATGAAATCTCTTCACGATAACAACACCTGGGAACTGATCAAGAAACCTACTGGAGCCAGGTTAGTCAGCTGTAAATGGATTTTCAAAGTTAAGGAAGGAATCGAAGGAGTGGCGTCGAAGAGATACAAGGCAAGATTGGTTGCTAGGGAGTTCACTCAGAAAGAAGGTATCGACTTCAATGATGTGTTCTCTCCTGTTGTGAAGCACAGATCCATTCGAATGTTGCTTGCCAAGGTCGAGTTACCAATGTTAAATATGATAGTCAAAGTGTAATACATCTGTAGAAGAATTCAGCCTATCATGAGCTAACCAAGTACATTGATGTGAGACTGCATTTTATTAGAGGGGTAATCGAGCGTGGAGAAGTCCAAGTGCTGAAGGTTTCGGCATATCATAATGATACTAATATGACCACCAAGACGTTGCCCAGTTGCAAGTTTTTCCACTGTATGTAGTTAATACAGCTGCATGAAGAAAGTTAGTTTCTTGATGTTATAGAGTTAGATCTAAGGTGGAGATTTGTGATATGTTGGATCGAACTCTAGTATGGTCGAAGTTTATTCGCGAGTAATGCATTTTGTAGTCGAAGTTTGTTCTAACATGAATTAGTCAATATTGATAGGGTTGTTAGCATGTTGAATTGGGTCTTGCTTGTAAGCCCAATTGTTTAAGTTAGCTTGTACCCTAAGTTAGCTTGTAATGGATAATTGTTAAAAAAAACCATTAGGTTAGTGTGCTATTTTTTTCTTATAAATAGGATACTAGTTTCTCAATCTTGTTATAAGGAAAAATAGGAAGATAAAATCCTAATTTCAAGAGAGAGAGGTTATTTTGTTATTCTTGTATACTTGTAATCTTGTTCTAAGAGAAAAGGAAAGAATAGCAGTTTAATAACCAATCCTTGTTGTTTTCTTCTTTACTAACCCTAACCCTTGTGTGTTTCTTGATCATTAAGAAACTGTTTATACTTAGTTTTAAGGTATCTGATTCACAACATTTTCTTTATAGTGATTTCCTCTTTTTCCTTTTGTGTTATATCAACTTCTACAAGGATTCCAGCATATGATATCCTCAGTTTGTTAGCAGTGCATTTGTATGTAAGAAGTGGCTTACCTAGTGCACTTCCGATCTTTCCTAAACTCTTTGCACCATATAGAGAGAGAAAGGTAGATTTGACAATTTAACCCAAGTAGGTAGAGTCCTCAACATGTCTCTTTTATAGTTAAAGTCAAGACTTCTTTTAGAATCATTGGCATGTTGTGAATTGTATAAAGGCCACGAGTTAAAATCATATCTCTATCTTTGAATGAGTAAAACTTTAGCAACAAATATTCCTCATCGTGATAAAGCATATCGGAAATCTGTATGAAATTCTAGAATCGAGTCATATAGTGTTTCACACCAGTCATACTTAGGTCTTGTCCAATGACATACATGATGCGAGCAGATTCTCAATATTTGACTTCTAATTCAACATTTGTTTCTTCAATTTCCACTTTTATTTCTCCCTCTACAGTACTTAGAGCAACAAATTCAATTGCCATTCTATTTTTCAGGAATCCTGGTTCCACTTATGACATCCACCCAAAGTTTCTTAGTTGGTTCATTCGTTTTAGTCGCTATGACCTTCCTTTCAAGTGTAGGGCTTTCAACTAGGGTGTTGAAAATCAATTCCTCTTTAACACTATCCTTAGATAGTTCATCCCTCTCTTTCCATTTATCATCTCTTGGATTGCTTGTTTCCGGTATCTCCTCTTGAACTAGTGGTTGAATCTCAGGAGAAGCCACTTTCTTCTTTGGCCTTCCTCTCCTTCGACGCATTGCGAGGGTGTTTTTAATTTTTTTTTAAAATATTTAAAATATTTTAAGATACAAACAAAGCTCTCCAAAGTGTTTTTTTCTAAAATTTTCCTCCAAAAAATTAATTTTTAAACGGAGTATTAGAGAAATAAAGAGAGATCGATTGAATATGATTTGGAATTTTTTTCACTTTTCAAAAATAAAAAGAAAATAAAAATTTAAATAATAAACGTTATTTATATATATATATATATATATATATATATATATATATATATATATATATATATATATATATATATATATATATATATATATATATATATATATATATATATATATATATATATATATATATATATATATATATATATATATATATATATATATATATATATATATATATATATATATATATATATATATATATATATATATATATATATATATATATATATATATATATATATATATATATATATATATATATATATATATATATATATATATATATATATATATATATATATATATATATATATATATATATATATATATATATATATATATATATATATATATATATATATATATATGTCCTATTTCAAAAGAAAATTGCTGTATGTGTTTAATTTTAGAATATCAATGTAAATCACAATGAAATGAGATGGAATAAAACAACGTTACATATCATAAGATATATAACACTAATCTTACGACTTATCTAATTTTGTCACTCATTTGTTTAAAAGTAATTTTAGAATCAAAATTGAAAACAATATAAATTAGAGGTAGGGGTTATAAAATGAATTAAATAATTAAATTAGATCGTAATAAATAGATAAAACATGAACGAATTCAATTGATATTTATTCATAAAGATATTTTATATTGTTAATTAATTATAATTTTATATTTTTATTAATTTTTAATTATAACCAACCATAAAATAATATAGAGAATAATTATAATGTATTATTACTGTAAGAAAAATTTACACTGACATGTAAATTTCTATAAATTAATTATTTTATTCAATAAATTTGTATTATCATTTAAAATGATCTATTAGATTTTTTTTATTAATAAAAATGGATTATAGTTCAATTTATAAATTGATAGATAGAATTCTAAGTGGATTACTTGATGGATAAGGATTATGATAGTACAAATTAGTGGATAACATTATTTTGGCTATGTAAATTAGTGGATACCATTTATCACCCCTGTTAAAGTAGCAAAACTTCAAAAATATTAATTAAACTTAAAAATAAAAAAAAAATAAAAAAGCTTGTGATTCACTTTGCCTTGAAAAACAAAATTGCAATTGAAAGAAAAGATAGTAAAAATGAACCTTGGAGGGTTGATTCTGTTGCTGAAATTCTCATACTCAGGATCAAAATATGGCCAACAAACTGCACTCATTCTAAAATCTAAACACCTTCTCTTCTGAATGAGTACTTTAAAGCCTTGTTATTATTTCTGCAAGCAAAGTCACCACTTAGAAACACACCATATGATTATATGCTCATTCATCAAGAATAAAAAAAGAAAAAAACAAAAGCAATATTCTAATAATTATGCATAAGTAGTTACAACAAGAATATGCAAGTCGTTGACATTCAATACAGAAGATTTAGATTTTTTTTCATTATTGAAAAAGAATGAGTTAGGTGAAATTTTTTTAAAATTAATTAAAAAGTGGCTGATACTGTTATGACGCACTAAATATTCAAATCTCTCAAATCAATGTTTTGTTCTTGTATAGTTGTATCCACTTTAACATATTTTACTCATTAAACATGACTCTAGCTATAATATGGGAAGAAAAGAAAACACTACTTGTAAATTGGAAAACGCAACTTACATGTCTTTTACTCCTTCTAATACAGAAGCTGAAGAAGATAGAAAAGACCACAGAAACAGAACACTTTCCAAAACAAGAAACAAGAAGAAAAAAAATAGAGAATTTCAAAAGAAGAATGAAAAATCTGCACAAGGAGTTGAAGGAAACATAGACATGAATTAATATAAGATAAAAAAAAACACACAGGTTGTTGCAAATTGCAATGTTCCAACCCCACTAACCGTACAAGGTTATATACATACAGCTGTCAATTTTGTTATGTCAGATGAAAAGAAAGTTGTGTCTTGAATGCAGATTCTCTATCTGCTTTCGACGTTGGAATACCACTCAATTCAACAGAGTCTCTCTGTCTCTTGTGTAGTTTGTTTTTCTTCCCCCTCTCTCTCTCACCTTTGAGCAAAAGAAAAAAATTAATGTTGTTTCTCTTAGTGGTGTGGGCGTGGGGTTGATTCTAGAAAAGAAAACCATTATTGAGTCAATAATAACAATAGAAAAAATGGGTGACCACTTACCACAAAACATAATACTTTTTTGTTTGTTTTAGGATTGTGATATCTCGTGGTCGTGTAGTAGCATGTGAGTTGGATGTTGTCGTATTTGTTGGAAGGACGTAACACAGTACGACTTTGAGGGCGTGCATGGAAGATTATCGAAAGATTATCGCATATGACTTAAAATTTGTCAACATTAAATAGACTATCATAAAATGTTTGTTGTATTTAAATTATCATTAAATAGAAATTTTTATCATGGTTAAACATTGAGTATATTATAGAGAGCATTCAAAAACTTGAGACAACTTCGGATAAAATTAAAGTCTTTTAAATTTTTGCGAGATTGTAGGCAAGAGACTGAAGCTATATTCAATTAAATGGTAAATTTCTTTTAAAAGGATCTATTTAATTGTAAAATAATCTTGAAATATGTGTATGAAGTCATTTTTATCATAGATTAATCAATAAAAAAATATGAGGTCGTGTGATGTAGGCCGTCTTGCATATTGTCAAAGTCGGCTTTGGTAAACTCAGTAGTATAGTACTCTATAGAAGTTGGCTAGGTGACTATTTTATCAAGTACATAAAACCAATCACATGCTCCATTTTTGGAAGAACAAAACAAAAGTTTTCATTTTACATCCATGCTTAGGAGATTAACAAGTAGTTTAGTTATAATAACCATGTGCATGATTTTAACAAACATATGTTACAAAGTTGGTTTCATATGCAATATAACTTTGATACACTATTGTACAACCAGTTAGTTAGATACAATATAATTACAAATTAAGAAACACAAACCAATAATTGCTTTTGGTTCACGAGTCTTGAACTAATTAATGAATTAATCATGTTTAAATGTTGAGAAATCAGGCTCAGTTGGCTTGAACATCTTAGGCATTTTCAAACTGCTATCATCAGGGATTATTGTAACCTTCTTAACCGCGCCTTTCTTCGTGTTTGCAGCGAATCTCGAAGCCAAAAATGTAGCCCCGAAATTCTGTCCAGGATTAGCATTGGAACTCTCTCCTGCATCAAGCTCCATAACATTTTCATAATACAGATTCTCTTTTTCTAGCAACTCCATTGCCAATTCTCTCTTCCGGTGACGCCTCCAAGCTGCTTGTATAAACGACGCACCCCAAGTTCTCCACTGATGAGAATAGTATCTGAAAGCGTGTTGCAGTTTCTTGCTGTGCAGACGCTTAAACTGGCTCGACACGAATTTGAGATCATCTGCTCGAAGTGCAAATGCTTCTACTTCGGTTATTGTCTTGACAGTTCTTGTTGAATCTGGAAGGTTAAGACTAGGGTCGGGCGTTAAAGCCCATGTTAGCAATTCTTCGCCACAAAAGTCACCGGGTTTTAGGGTGATAGAGTTGAAGAATCCTGATCTACCACCGTCTGTTGTAGAACTCTCTATACTTCCTCTGATGATAAAAAGCATCTCGCGAACTGGATCGCCTTCTCTAGCTATATACGAACCTTTCGTGTTCAATGATGAAACAAGACGTTCACATATAGCATCGAGAAGTTGATCATCCATTTGGCCAAAAAACGGCACCTGAACATGATAACTGTTAATTTGATGTATTCATAAAAGTTAGTTATACCAGTTAGTTGTTCTCACCAGCTACAAGAGACTTACTCGGCGAACAATATCAAGACAGAGATGCCTCTGAATCTGGCGTCGAAGATCAATAGGCAAGGATTTCAAAATGGCTTCTTCGTCAACACCTCTCGTGGCAAGCCATTTATACTGAACAAAACGACGAACACGTTCTTGTAGTTCTGGTGGAAGTTGGCGATGATTCATCCATTCTTCTGTATCTTTTTGTCTAAGTCTCCACTCTTCAAGTCTTGCAGTTGAAGATTGCAGATAATTCTTTAATTTTATGCAATAGAACAAATCAAGAAACACTATTAGTATTTTATTGTCAAAAAACTATAGTTTATTTTTCAAATTTTCTTTTCCTATAAGTGATGCTAACAAGTATTAACTCAATTACAATACCTGCATGTTACCAATGAGATGTGCAAACAGGATAAGGCCTGCTATGCATATGAAACTTGAAAATAACGTTTCGCCGCTGTAAGTACTAGTCTGAAGATTTTGTCCATATGAACTGCAAATTATCAAAATAACTTTTAAGAATAAGTTATGAAGTGATTGCTTAAAAAAAACTAAGAAAAGCTCGCAAATTTGCACAAAGTAATGGCATCAAACCTGAGATTTTTCAAACCCCACCAGAGACAGTAAAAATATTTTTGAAAGAATCTTGATGAAGAGACATGATCAGTGAAAGCATCAGCAAACATTCCAAACTGAAAGTGGTTTCTATCATTGAGTGCATCGCAAGCAGAGAGGACTCGAGTGCGTTTAAACCAAACTTGTCGTTCGCGGCTATTAAGAGTATTACAATCAAGAAAAGAAGGATTACAAGAAGGTGAATGTGTTCTGTTCATTTCCTTCTTGCACATTATTCTCCAACACTGGTATTGTCTCTGAATCGACGTCACATACCACGTTGCTCCTAAAACCTGCACTGACAAACACAACACACAAGTTAATTATTATAAAAAAAAAAACATTATAAGATTGATTTTTATCATTAGTTTCAAAACTGTTGATTAATTACATGGCTGGCGAGCATGTAGAATCCGAGATTGTACAATGCACCTGCCATAGCAGTTTTTGCTATAAGCCCACTAGTCTTCAAGATTCTGCGTTGTAAAGGAAAAATCTGAAACAGTCTTGGAATGTACTGAATTAGAACTATCAGGGACAGCGTGTGGTTTGAATGAGCTGCAGTCGAGTTTTTTGCCGCTGGAATCACAATCCAAATAACTATCTGAAATTTGAAACGTCACATATTCAAATGTTATATTGTAATGTAGTAATGTTACATTGCATATTAATCCTACTTCATAGTTGATTATATAATTAATTAATAATTAATTATGTCAATCTATATTTGATTAATTAAATAATAAAATATTCGCCAACAAACCTGAGGCAAAGGAAGACAGGCAAGAAGATCAATGATAAAATCATGTCTGAGGTATCGACTCATAATCATCTTGGGATCGGTGATAAGCTCTTTGCGGCCGTATACATGAGAGGTTGGAGAATTATACGCGGTGCGAAACTTAAGAACTATATGAAAGAAGAAGCAGACATCCGCGACAGTACGTAATAACGTGACGAAAACGCCGAGGACTAAGTCGGTTTGCAAGCATGCTTTGTCTCCTGTGACGGGAATATAGAAATAAAGAGGGTCTAGAAAGAGAGCAAAGAGGCAGGAGTAGAGGAATATAACGTTCCATTTTGCAAGAAATGGTGAACGTGGATGTTGTATTTGGTACCACCATGGCACTTTTCTACGAAGAGAGAATGATTTTGGAAAACGTTGAAAATGTGAAGAAGATGATACTGCAAAATGGCTATTCATTTTTTTTTTTTTTTAATTAGTTAATTACTAGTAATTGGTTTTTACCATGCATGATTCCAATCACCGGAAAAGATGCAATGGCACATCAATGTTCATGGTTGCTGCTGCAAAATTCATGGAGAACAAAGAGAGAGGAGAATGGAAAAGGTTCCAAAATATTTGCACACTAGCTTCTGGTTCAACGTTAAGTTAGGAATGGGAGCTAATTATTATTTGATCATGCAATTAGCTATATATTGTGGTAACTTTTTTTAATTGCATTCATCACACAATCAATATTTTCTTTATTAAAAAATTCTACCTACAGACTAAAATTAGAAAAGGAAAAATCTAGAAGGACTTTTATTAGAAGAAAAAAATTTATGAGGTTCAAAAAGTGAATATTAAAGTATTTACAAGAATGAAAAATATATTTAACTTAAAAAATTAATATGAATATCATTTCTCATAAAAGGTGATATCTCAAGGACATTCCATCACTCAGGATCATATTATTTACTACATTACCTCTTAATGCTGTGATTTTTTTGGGTTGACAATTGGATGTATTAAGATAAAATTTATTCAATTCATATAAAAGAAAAGTTAATAGATTGGATTATATTCATTTATTTATATACATATATTGATTGATTTAATTCATCCAACATATTTTAAGAATCAAATTTATTATTTTTATTTCGATTATATTTAATTTTTTAAAATAATTAAAAATAATTTATTTAGAAAAAATTGATTTTCCAAAAAGAAAAAACAAGATACTTTTTCCCAAACAAACGCAATTTTTTTTCGAAAAAACAAGCGATTTTTTTTTCAAAATAAAAAACCAATTTTTTTTCAAAAAAAATGATTTTTTAAGTCGGATTTTTAAAAAAATATCGATTTTTTTGAAAAATACAAAAAAGCCAAATTTTTCTAAAAAAATCAATTTTTTTTTGGGAAAAAACAAGCGATTTTTTTTCCAAAATATAAAACCGAATTTTTTTCCAGAAAAAAAAAACCAATTATTTTCCAAAAAACCGAGTTTTTAAGTCAAATTTTTTGGAAAATATTGGTTTTTTTGAAAATACAAAAAATTTGAATTTTCTCAAAAAAAAGACTTTTTTCTGAGAAAAAAATTTTTTTTTTCAAAAATTAAAATATTATTAATTTTTTAAAAAATACAAAAAGTCGAATTTTCTCAAAAAAAATCAATTTTTTCCGGCGAAAAATGATTTTTTTTTTTGTAAAAAGAACCGATTTTTTTTCAAAAATTAAAAAATTTAATTTTTTTTAAAAACACAAAAAGTCGAATTTTCTCAAAAAAAAATATTGATTTTTTTTTCGAAAATACAAAAAATTGGTTCTTTTTTAGAAAATACAAATTTTTTATCTTGAAAATACAAAAAATGGTTTTTTTTCAAATAAAAAATTCAATTGTTCATGAATATATTAAAAAAAAAATTTTATATACAAATAATAAAATTTTCGAAAATAAAATAAAATAAATACCTTTATTTTTTCAAAATAAAAAAAAATGGATAGATACCCATCCATTAAAAATATGTTAATGGATGAATTTGATGGATTTTGTTCTTAACGGAAATGGATTGAATCGGATAATTTTAAAAAAAATTTAGTGGGTTAGTAATGAACTAATTGATTGTTTTGATCCATCCATTTACAATCCAGTTCATATCCATCCAATCCATCTATTTTGTCACCCCTAGATTTTTCTTCTTTTTTTACATGAACACATCGTGTTCATATGTTATTATTTTTCTTTTAAATTTTGGGTGCTTTCTCGTTGTTGTAAATATTAGACTGTAAATAGTAATTAGTAGTATTAGTAATGAGGCCCATTAGTCAAACCCATTAGGTTTTCTATTCTCTCTTATTTAAAGCATGTAGTTGCAACATTGTAAGGAGTACTTTTAATTCTATCAGTGAAATATTTTACAATATGGTATCTCAGCTCCTGTTTTTTAGGGGTCTCGCTTCCGCATAAACCCTAGCCGCCGTTGTAACGGTGTTTTTTTTTCTTTTTTTCACTGCCGGTCATCCTTGCAGTTTTTTTTTGGGTGTTTGGATCATTGCTGTTTTTTCATTCTATTGCAGTTCTATTGCAACCCTACTGCTTGTTTTTTGGTTTCCTTGTATTTTTTCTTTGTGATTCAATACATATCTGCTGTTTGTTCCTCTCGATTGTCCCTTCAATGGCCGAGATTATTAACCAACAACCACCTCCGCCTCCACCTCCCACAAATCCACCAGTCCCATTTAATGCTAAGGATTTTGTCGTTCAAAAAGGTTACTGGCTTACCGGAAAAAATTATTTTCAATGGTCTCAGTTCATCAGACACACTCTAAAATGTTGTGACATGCTCGATCATATTGAAGGCAATCCTCCTCTGGTTACTGCTCCTAATTTCTCTTCCTGGGATAAAGATGATTCTGCTATTATTACTTGGCTTTGGAACTCCATATCTCCAGAAATTAGTAGAAATTGCATGTATCTCTCAAGTGCAAAGGCAGTTTGGGATTATCTTCGTCGAAGTTATTCCATGAAACAAGATATGTCTGCTTGTTATGATTTAAAGAGGAAAATATTCAACACTAAGCAGGGAAGTCTTTCGGTCAACGATTACTTTGGAGTTCTCAATGGTTTTTGGATTGAGTTGGATCAATATCAGAATTTGAAGATGGAGTGCAGCAAGGATACTGCCACCTTGAATACTGTTGTTGAGCGGGATAGGATCTTTGATTTCTTAGCCGGCCTTAATGCTGAATTTGACCCCATTCGGGTGCAGATTTTGGGTAAGGAAAAATTTCCTGATCTTAATGAAGTTTTTTACACTATTCGTAGTGAGGAGACCCGTCGTCAAACTATGCTTCATGAACAGCCCCCGGATGTGTCAGCACTAGTAGCTAGAAAAACAACAAGACAAGGACCACCATCGTCATCATCTAAGAATGGTCGTGACAAATTCTATTGTGAGCATTGCAACCGATCAGGGCATACAAAGGATAGGTGTTTCAAACTACATGGAAGGGAACAGGTTCTTAGCCGAGGAGGTAGTTCTCGCAACATGCACCAGCATCAGGCACATGTTGTCACACATGCCCATGATACTGACAGATCTGAAAAAGAGGGAACTGATCTTTCCTCCTTCAGCCAGAATGACGTGGAACGGTTGAAGTCTATGCTTGACTCCATGAGTAAGCCTTCTGGTTCTGGGTCTCTAGCAGTTACCGGTAAGAGTTTGTGTTCCCGATCTTTTACTGTTTGTGGTAATATCCCTAAGAATGCGTGGATTCTTGACTCTGGTGCTACTAATCATATGACATTTGATTCCACATTATTATGCTCTTATACCACACCTTCGAGTATTCCTTATATCACTGTTGCTGATGGCTCTCAGGCTTGTGTTGTTGGCACTGGAAATATTGACTTGCAACCTCCATTTCAATTGCAATCCGTGCTTCATGTTCCCACACTTTCCCACAATTTGATTTCCATCCATAAGCTTACCCGTGATCTAAATTGTAAAGTAACGTTTTTTATGTCCCATTGTATTTTTCAGGACCTTACCACGGGGAAGACGATTGGAATTGCTAAGGAAAAGGAAGGGTTATACTACTTCTCTGATGACCATCCAAAGGTGTTGTCCTCCTGTCTCCAGTCTCAGTCTTCCTCTTCAGCCTCACACATTTGGCTTCAGCACAAGCGTCTCGGTCACCCTCCATTTTATATCATTAAGTCTATGTTTCCGTCATTGTTTTTAAACCATTATGTTGAGTCTTTTAAGTGTGATGTTTGTCAGTTGGCAAAACACAATCGTGTAACTTTTCCTTCCAGTTTTAATAAAAGTGCTGAACCTTTTGATGTGATTCATTCTGATGTTTGGGGACCTGCCCCTACCTCTAATATTTTTGGTGCAAAATGGTTTGTTTCATTTATTGATGATTGTACTCGGGTAACTTGGATTTTCTTGATGAATACTAAATCCGAAGTACCACAAATATTTATCCAATTTTATAATATGGTACAAACACAATTTGGGAAATGTATAAAAAGAGTTCGTTCTGACAATGGTAAAGAATATGTCAATCATACCTTCTCCAACTTCACTAGTAAACATGGCATTCTTCATGAATTCACATGTGTTGACACCCCACAACAAAACGGTGTCGCAGAAAGAAAAAACCGTCATTTACTTGAAGTTGCTCGATCTCTCCTGTTTCAAATGTCTGTTCCCACCTCTTATTGGGGGGAGGCAGTTCTTACTGCTGCCTATCTGATTAATCGGGTCCCATCTCGAGTGTTAGGTAATATTAGTCCTGCTCAATTTATGCTCTCACGTTTTCCCTCTGTTCCTATCTTACATAATCTTGAGTCTCGCGTGTTTGGTTGTGTTGCTTTTGTTCATGTTCACAAACAATATCGCAACAAGTTGGATCCCCGTGCTGTCAGATGTATCTTTCTGGGTTATGCACCCAATAAAAGAGGGTACAAATGTTATCATCCTCCGAGTCGGAAATTCTTTGTCTCCAAAGATGTCACCTTTCATGAAAATGTGTCATACTTCACTCATTCTCAGTCTCAGGGGGAGAACATGAGTGACTTAGAGTCTGAGTCCGAGTTTCTGATCCTTGGTCCTAGCCTCCCGAGAACACCTGTCAGTGTTCCCTCTCTTGAACCCGAGTTGTCACCTAGTTTGAGTTTGAGTCCTAGTTCAACACCTGAATCTGAGTCAGTAATTGTTCCTGGTCCTTCAATGCCTTATGTTCCACAGGAATCAGCACCTTCAGCACCAACTCTAGTATATCAGAGAAGAAGTAAATCTGACCTTCTCCAGAAACAAATTCAATCGTCTGAACCGAAGGTAAGTACTGAAAATGATTCCTCAAATGATGATTGTTCTATTTCTGATACTTGTGACACTAATCCAGTTGATTTACCCATTGCCTTGAGGAAGGATAAAAGATCTTGTCCCTCCTTATATCGACACCATATCTCT